GTGTGTGTGTGTGTGTGTGTGTGTGTGTGTGTGTGTGTGTGTGTGTGTGTGATCATGTTTATGCCTGTGGTGTGTAGCTGTGTGCTACCCACCCTCTTCTCTGTGTTTTAGCACTGATGTGAATATTGTTTTCTGCGTTAAAATTATGCACAAGAGTTTTTCCCTTCCATCTGCCTGCATTGTCTTTAAAACTTCCATACCAACACACACAAAGAAGTTTCTAACTTCTCTTCTGGGATGTTGGAGTGGGAAAAAAAAAAACATATTTTTTTTTCATGGAGATCGCTGCGGATTGCACAGACTGCCTCTTTGAGAGATATCTGGCACATTCCGTTGTGATCTGTTTGCTCCCMGTCCACCACATTCTCATCAGCGTGGGAGCTCAGCCACTTACTGAACTTCTTTTTTTTGTCTGTAAAATGTTTGAGAATAGTAGTCATTTGTGTGAGTAATGAAGAATCAAACCAAACTTCTCCACATGTTCTTGGAGCTCCGGAGTGAAGTTTTTTTTAGTTGATTGTGTGTGTGTTCGTGCGTGCGTGCGTGCGTGCGTGTGTGTGTGTATGTGTGTCTATACACGCCTTCAAACTTACTATGGAGCTCTGCCAGGGCTTAGGGCTTAGCTGAGAGAATGCCTCAAACCAGTTTACTCTGGTTGTGTAGTGGAGAAGTCTGGGGGCGGGACAAAACCTCTTRAAGCTCCAGGCTTCTCTTCTCTTTGGGTATGAGCTGGGGATTTATTTTATTTGTTTATTTTTTGTGTGTGTGCATCTTGATCTGTGTATAATCACACATGCGTACAAGACTGATTTGCACCTACATCACTACATTACATTTGACAGGTTGCCTTTTTTCACCACTTAACATAAAATTGCAAATCTTTTTACGTGTGTGCACATGTGCATGTGGGTGAGATCTTGGCCCTGCCTTACATAATTTCCCCCCACATTTGTCTTTCATGGACAGCAGGAACAGAGGTGACGACTGCCAAACAGAAGCACTTGAAAGAGTCGGTGTGTGATGCTGATAAGTTTGTCCRATTGTTTTTTGCAGGGGGGATGTCAAAAGCTCGGTTTGTGCCGTTCTTATTAGATTGTTGGGTGCCCTATCAGAGTCTGCATGGAGCACATGTATTTAGTGCTGGGCGATATGGCCTAAAAATATCTCGATTATTTTTTTCATCCCAAATTTGATTTTCGATTTTAATCGATTTTCATCATTCCTTTGCTGTATTAAACACAAATTACAGAAACTATTTTTAAAAACTCTATTTTATTTGGACCATCCCTTCTGGGAGTTGACCTTAATTCAAAGTGCAACTAAATAGAAGCTATAAATCATGCTTGTAAAACAAGATGGCAGACCCCGCCATTGTAAACAATGAAAATATAAATAAAATATTTGCAGCTTCAAGTAAACACAATAAGCTAGTTTGAAAATTAGTGTAAACAAAATTAACAGTC